GGTGCAGGGGGAGGTTAGGGTACAGGGTAGCACTGATTCTGGAAACATGAATGCATAACATTATTTATTGATATTATATTGCATTGTGTAATAAAATAATTTACATCTGTGTTTCCAAACACATCTGTCTATCCTGAGCAGCCAAATCACTCAGGAATTCCTCTGCTGGTATCGGAAACTTACACCAGGGTGGCCACAACCCAAGATTGTCTCATAAGAGAAGAAAAAACGTGACTCTGTTTACTGCTAGAAAGCAAAGCGTTGCGGGAAATCTCGTTTTATAGAGGCCAAGAGGATGGGCAGCAGGTACATGTCTCGGTTTTCCAGCCCCTTCCCTCATTCCGTTTCCACATGAGACAGCTTCCTGGCCTTGGTGCTGAGACGGGCTCTGTGCTGGTGGCCTGCGGCCTGGGCTCCGGCCCGTAGCTCCCCCTGCAGCACCTGATGAGTGCGGGACTGAGCGAGCGAGCGGATGCTTAGTGGGGGGAGGGGCTGTGCATTTGTCCACATTTATGGAGAACCTACTCTCTGCTGGGCCCCAGAATTACACGGATAGGAAGGCAAGGAGCCTGTCTCCATGCAGATTCTAGAGTTTCTCGGTAGGTTCGTCTGGATTTTCAACAAATACGGTCCTAATATCCAGGAATAATGGCAGTTTTCTTCCTGCCCCCTCTTTCCTTCCCTGTGATGGTGACCATGCCTGTATCCCAATATTGTTTTATTGTGAATCTCAGAGGGGAATCCACCAGATTAAGGACATTTCCTTCTGTTCCTAGTTTGCTTATTCAAAAAAAAATCATGAATAGGTGTTGAATTTTATTAAATGCTCTTTTTCTACATCTTTGAGATTATCATAATGTAAAAACTTTTTACATTTGATTTTTAAACTATGAATCAATTTTATTGGGATATAATTACATACAACAAAATGCATTCATTTTAAGGGTAGTTATGTGAGCTTTAACAATGTATACACTCGCCCTGGCTGGTTTCGCTCAGTGGTTAGAGCATCAGCCCGCGGACTGAAGGGTCCCTGGTTCAGTTCCGGCCAAGAGCACGGACCTCAGCTGCAGGCCCGATCCCCGGCCCTGGTCAGGGTGCGTGTGGGAGGCAACCAATTGATGTGTGTGTCTCACATCTATGTCTGTCTTTCTGTCTGTCTCTCTCCCTCTCCCCCTTCCAACTCTCTCTGAAAAGCAATGGAAAAAATATCTTCAGGAGAGGGGGAAAAAAAGATAAAAATAAAATAAAAATGTACGTATATACTCGTAAGGACGAAGGCGTGGGGCATTCTGACGCCCTCAGAGCTCTTTCATGCCCCTTGGCAGTCAGTCCTCTGCCGCT